AAAAAAAATACTTTTTCAAATGAAGAAATACATGTAAATTGAGTTCGAATTATATCAAGGAGGTTTCGTACAGTGCCATCTGCCCACGAATAGATCAAGCAATAATGTCGATAACCCTGTCAAATACAGATCCCGAGCATTCAAATAGATATAAATATGAAATGAAAAGGAGAGTTACAAACAACAAACTGACAAACAAACAAACATACAGACAGGTGAAGACAATAGAAGCGTGTTAAAAAAAGAGTTTAGTTTTCCCTTTCTGATGTACATGGGCTAACAGTCAAGTAAAAGATCATTTGCTTGAGAAACTAGTGATACTACTCATCAATGCATCGTAATGTTTATCTGTATTATTTTCATCTGGTAGTCCAGTAGTGAGATATATTTACAGATTCAAATATTTCTCTAGCTTGACAGGAATTCAGTTCAACATTGAATGGGAAATTTTCACTGAACAGTTAAACATATCAATAAACAAAAAAGCAGGTTTAATGAAACCTGTGCGTCTCGGGACGCCCGACAGAAGTGATAACTTAAACTAAATCCAACTATCTAATTTTAAAATTATTAAACTTGGGAAAAAATTGGGATATTATTTGAATTTTATGTATAATAATATGATAATGTAAGGGAAGGTTATTTATTAATAAAATAATTTATTGTTTATTTTGTGTATGTACGTATATTATCGCTACTATATAATGTACATAAACGAAATTAGTATCATAATTTTCAAGCCACGTTTCATATAATAATGAAGGAATATCACGTGATTGCTGGTTAGATTTTTATAATATTGTCAACAGTATATGTCGATCGCACACTAAATCCTGAGCATCTGTCCGATGAGAGAGAAGGAGCCTGCTTCCGCTGACGTATGCGTTTACAGAAAGTGTAATACGTTAGGTTACGAAGCGGATGACCCAGTTATCACTTCAAAAATAAAGAGAAAATGATACTGTTACTGTCTTAATGCATTTCGATGTGCAAAGAAACAAAGAGTTGAGAAGGCAAAACATATTCGCGAGGAAGGGAAGAAACTTAAAAATATGCAAAGGAAATGTTGTTTTCAACAAATTACATCAAATTAACAAACCCATCATGCTAGCATAATTGAATCCTTGCCTGGTTCATTCCACGCAAACACTCAACGTATTCATATATCGTAAACAAGATGCGTCGCTTTTATCCAGTCATATGAATTAAGGGAGCGCCAGTCTGCCTAGTAACTATTGATTCTCCCAGCTACAATTTGAATTCTAGAACGTTCAGTATTTAATCTAAATCAATTACATGTCTCTTTGTGCCAAATGGATTTCGAGAAGACCGCAATTTAATATAGAGATCGTACCCTTCAAAGCGCTGAAGTTTCGGAAAGGTAACTTTACTCACGTATCGGGGGAAATTGGACGAAAGCGGGTTCATATGGATATGGAAAACACTTTCAACACTTCAAATCCAGAATAACAAATTCTGTTCCTCTTGAATATGTGTTTAGTAAAATAAGTATTTGTAGTTGTGCGGGATATAAAGTAAGGAAATGATAAGTTTTGAAGGATAATTATTTTGTTACTGTAAATGAAAAAATATCATTGAAACTTTTCTTAATTTCGAAAATACGTTCTTATCGATTCATTTTGTTGTTTTTAAATTTTTATATTTCTTATCGTTTTGGTCTACCTTTATACCACAATTGCTTTTTTCTCAAAAAAAGTCTATAAATACTAGTGTCACTGTTCCACCAATGAAAACAATGCAACACTTTGTGGCATGGATATATTTGAATAAAAAAATCATACCTAATGGAAATATCTCTAGGAATATGAAAATGTTATGTAGTAGGTACATGGTTTACAAACACTTGTTTAAATGAAATGACATTCTAATGTCAAACCATTGTTCAACAAAAGTCGTGAGATATCTTTGTAAAGCTTTTGCATCTACTGTCATTTCGCAAAAAATCCAATGGCTGATGAAAATATCAGGTTTGTCATTGCTAGCAACGAATCCAAATCAGGAACAAAAGGAGGTAACGAGCCACTCTATAAGAATAAAATGATCACCAGTCCAAATTATTTTACATCTCTTCAACTATTATTAGGACTAGATTGTTCAATAGTAACAACATCGAAAGAAAAAGCAAATTCACTTTCCGAAACATCTGCATCCCACTCCAAAGTTAATTTGATTAAAAAACACTATCAATTACTCTTGCTATACAATCCAGTGAGTCAGTCTTTATTAAAAAAAAAAGTTCGAAAGTTGAACAGCTTATTATCAACATATAACCGGATATATACATACTCACGTCACCCATCTTCGAAATAACGTAATATTGAGAAACAAGAAGTCTTCAGCTATTAAGCCAGTGCTTTCGATCATATCTATCATGAGATTTCTGATGATGATGATGATGATGATGACGATGATAATAATGGTGATGATGATGATGAAAATAATAATGATGATGATGATGATCCAATATATTGCCCTACCAATTCCTCATTATCAATGAGAAGACTGACAACATTAGCAAAATCCTGAGAACCATATTCTAATAAACATTTGGAAACAATTTCAGATCGGTAGCACAATAACTGAAAAGAATTCAATCCTTAAAAAAACTGGCACCAGTTTTCCCGTTTTCCAATTTGTTACTCAATCTTGTTGCTCAAATAAGATAGGTTTTTTCTAAAAACTTCGGGATACCATTATGAGGCAGAAAGTTGCAGTAATGTATACTCAAATCAGACCTTTGAAGAAAGATTGTCTTCTGATACCACCAATAACAGTATATGTCATAAATACACATTGCTTCAAAGTTCTACTCTATACACTTCGAATTAATCTTTATACCAGTTGTTTCAATTGAAAATCATTGAGAAATGATTTTCCCAAGGGCATTTTTCAATATAATATTCAGTGGTTAATATTCGATGTAAATCGCCTCTACTGCACAAGTAGTGAATACTCCTCAAAATCATGACACTATCCATGAAATTCACAGAGGAGCTGGAATCTCAAAATTGATTATCTCTTCTGAAGGTGACAGTGAAAAGGGCCAAAAACCAAGTGGAAAAAATGTATCCACACGGAACAGTACCCGAATAACTAATTCAGCCACGATAATTCTACTGAAAGAGGAATTGTTAAGATCCTAATTGACCATGCATTCGTCTGTGGATCACTAAGGGGGGAGTTTCATCAAAGAACTGTGTCACATGGAGCTGAATCGCCTGAAAAATGAGCTGCAAGAAGCTGGTAGAACAGAAATTGTTCAGAAAATCTCCAGAAGTATAAGAAGTCGCCATAACAAATGCAACGTCATTCTACGTTTAGGAGAGAATAGAAAGAATTGGATCAACATCAGAACGTGTTTCAGATCCTGACAAAACATTCGTAGTAACTTTACGATAACCAAGTCATCAAACATGGATAAGTTACGTCTACCGGATACTATGTGAATGCAGTATTAGTATTTCTCAGGTCGGAGAAACTAAGAGGCTATTGAAGGTGTATATTGATGAGAACAAGAAAAAAATCCTACGAAAAAAAACAGTAATTGGTAATAGCGGATCATGGCTGGAACCATCAAAATAACATGAAGAAATCGAAAGTTGAGGAAAGAGAGGGACTGTAGTGTGAGAGTTCGAAGAAATTGCGTCACTTGAAAAACGTCGCATTAAGCTAGGGTAGATTTGCAACACGTAGATAATTGAATGCAGTACTCTAAATGGAAAAGACAGAAAGGAAAAGCGCTCTCAACTGATCTGTAAATAGTTTTCAAGTCCTCGGAAATAACTCTGTGATGATATTATATTATTTCAAATCAGGAATCTTTTGAGCATATTTAANTTTGAGAGAAACTTAATGAAAATAAATTTATTCTTTATTTTTTTCATCCATCAAAACAACGTCAACGATGGTGCCATAGTTAGTAAGCAGTGGCAGACAAAACGTTTGTTACGTCAAGTTCCATTCGCTCACGGCCCACTAGCCTGAATTTTGTTCTTTTTAAGGAAAATTTTCACCCAATTTCAAAAATGTTTACATATATTCACCAAAATAATGCATTATCTCAAAGAAATTTTTATTGTAGCAATAGGTGGATACTTTCAAAAGATTTATGTTATCTACCGCCTGTCACAACTAAGTATTCATTGTTAGTTGTTTGTTTTGAGCAAGCTGATGATATATCAATATAACTAATAGACCACATCGCCAAAAAGCCTTCGAAGAATTATGAATATTACCACCATTATACTAGGGCTGTTCTAAAAATATTTTCAGTCAAGTCGTTCATCAAAAAATATCAATGAACAACGCAAACTTTTCATCCACATACGATTCGTGTATTGGAAGACTCAAAATTTTTTTCACTTTGAAGGTTGATGGTTTCAAAAAACTTTCCTGAAGGGTAGCCAAACTTTTGGGTGTTTTTATGTAAAATAAAGGGTGGTCGAACCAAAACGCACGATGATTATTGTAAATAGAACACAAAATATTGGCTAAATGCTCGTCATGGCTTCGATGGCATAATTGAGATTTAATGTCGTTAATGTGCCGAATTGTCTCATCCTTTACCTCTTCAACTGTTCTTGGATTCTTGACGAACACTTTTACTTCTTAATATCCCAGCGGCGTCAAATCTCATGATTGTGGCAGCCAAATAACACGATCATTGAATTTCTCGCTGTCTGGCAAGTGGCACACATCGTCCATATCGTCCAGGTACATATTCTCAATTTCTGGCCACAAGAAGTCCGTTATCATCTCGCGATAGCGAACACCATTCACGGTAACTGTTAGCCAACCTCATTTTCGAAGAAATATAATTGTGTACTTCACCATGGTTGAATTTGTCACACACTGAAACAAAGGAATGTCAAATTCAGTTGGGCAAAAAACTTGATGTTGAGGTGTGACTCACAATTTAACATCGTGCATTATGGTTGGACCACCCTATATGTTTGGATTATATTCTTGATTGATTTCAGACTAAATACGGGTTGGAGCGTCAAAACAGCAACTCTAGGTTATAATGCCAAATCACCCAAAACGTCCCCCCTTGCTGCCGAAGAACAGGAAGCTATAGTGAATGTTATACAGAGGGCTGAGCAACTAGACGTCTCGGAACAAGAGAGAGTATGTTTCAATTGTTATTCAGATTCTGTATTTACTTCAGCTGAACATTTAAGTTGATTTTTTGTATTCTAAATATGTGAAAAAACTGTTTACACGGAAATGTTATACGATGAAAAAATTGGCAAGGTTTGTTAATACTACTGCATTACTTAAAATATCTTCGTGAATGAACTCGAATATCTTGAATTGTTTCTCTTCTCGTCTCCGGACGATATTCGTTGATAGTTTATTTATACAATTCTTGATTTATCAGTTAGCAAATATACGCTTTGCAGATAAAACCATATAATTTACGAAAATGCTTCATGAAAATCTCAGACACATCTACCGTTATAATTTATAATAATGAAGGGCAATTTTGAATTAGGATGATCTCGATTTTCTTCATGTCAGTGGATGAAGGTCTCTGTCGCTTCAATGTGAATTTCAAATGATTTGGTTCCTTGTTTAGAAATTCGATGATCTAAGAATTCATTTCGGCTCAGTTCGTAAATGCAATTATTTCTCATTTTCATTGAGAACGTTATTATCTTCGAACACTCACGAAGTTCTTAGTACCCGTTCATTATGTTGGTAGAGATCTTGGTCAAATGTGAGTATGTCATCGATAAGTTGTTTGTTTCTTGACCTTCGCTGATAATAAATTTTTGTAATATAATATATCATCAGATGCTTCTATTGATTTGAAGCATTTTTGATGTCTAGTCTGATGAAATATCCTTACGTCCTCGTTGTAGGTGGATGATTTCTTTGTAGAACATCACATTTCAGTAATTTTTGTACAGTATTCATCTGCAAACTTCAATAAAATTCACTTTGCAGCTTCATTTACGGATTCTATTATGTCCAACTTTACTAGTTTGTACCAGAACCTCACTGGTTTTCTTCGACGTGGTTGGCAAACAGGTTTAATCGCTTCAAAAATTAAAATATCTACTACAGCTTCACTGAATTTTGGAAATTGTACTATAGTGTTGATACCTCATTCAATGTTGAGAACTCCATTCCCTAAAACATTGCAGTCTTGCTGTTCTGGGAAGTTGTACAATCATAATAATTGAAATGGATCTTTGCTTCCGGTGGTGGAAATCAGTTTCTGTAGTTTTCTCAATTGATCTCAGATCTCGATCTTTTGTTTCAGTATGTTCCAAGTGTAACTTTCCAAAATATTGCTGTTCCTTCCAGACTCAATCAGCGTATTGATGTCTACTCCCATCAAACGTTGGAAGCTCTTAACTCTAACCGATCACGTCTTAATTAGTAGCATATTGCCAAAAACGACTCTTTTCAGTTGGAAGACTAAACAAATTGTCTCTGGCCTGGATTCCTGGCTAGCCTGGAAAGCAATGAGGCTGCTAACTTCCTTGCAAAGGAGGGTGCTTCAAGAAGCTTTATTGCACCAGAACCTATCATTCGCAGAACCTAACCTAACCACTCCCATAAGCAATATATTTCTCGCCAATATTGAATTTGGAATTGTGTGGCTGGTTTTCGTAGTTGCTGTCCCCTTATTCTGTAATAGGTTATCTCTACCAGGGAGTAGTTCGACAAAAGTCCCGTAAATCTTCTCAGCTGCACATTTTTTGCAAGTTTTTAATTTTGCAGGACATACGGAAAAACTCGAAAAATGATTTTCACCATAATGAAACACCCTTTGAACCGAGTTGTGTAGTTGAATTTGGTTCGATTCAACAAAACATTCTAATTGATTAGTGTTGGCATCCAATGTCGACAGTTCTGTTAAAATTCTTAGTGTGTTTTGCAGAGAATTTATTTTCTTGATTTCCACTGATGTACACTTTCACACAATGTGTTTCCATCAACGGTTTGTGAAATGACTTGAGTAGTTTGATTTCTTAGTTGAACCAAGAATTTTTCAAATGATTGTTCAAATATTATTTCCTGAACTGTTCATTTGAATATGAGACATTTAGACATGTTGATTTTTCATATTTCAGTTTCTCAGCATACGACTGAAGGGGGGGGGGGTTTGATTCCTTTTTGACTTTTTTGTCAACTATCCTAGTTCAATAATAGTAATCTGTCACTGCATGCTTCAGCATCCATTTTTTCTCACACTTTCATCAANTCCTGCCCGTGGAAAATCCCTATATTGTGTGTATCCAATCATTCCCCGTCGCTGCTTTTCGAATAATTCTTGCTAGATGAATGAAAAACAGTCGTTGTCACAAGCACAAGTTTATTCTTCTTTATTGTAACAATACCGCTACTGAAGATGACTGCCGCAGTTTCAGTTGAAACGTTTGGATATTATAACCGAAGAAGACCACGGCAAAACCCGGAAACCAAACAAAACAATACCGCCATTCCTAATTTCTTATACAACACAAAATACAAATATATTTTCGAAGATTTCGAATTTTCCAAGAGATAATAAGTGTCATAATAAGTCTGACAAATAAATTAATTTTCTGTAAATCTAGATAATACTAGATTATTGCACGAAGAAACTGATTCAAAGAAAAGATTCTTTCAGATTGGAAAATTGGTAGAGAGATTGGAGAATATGAGACGAAATGCTCTTGGCAGAAATCCGTCGCAATGCTTGTTATGTGGTGACGGATTCGGTATACTGGGTTCGCAAAAAATTGTTTGTATGGATTGCAGAAGGCTGGCATGTCAGAAGTGCGCTATAGATTCTTATGCTGGTACAAGTAACAGGTATTTTTGAATATTATTTCTCGTTTATTTATGTTAATCTTACTAACATTTTATTGATAGTTTGTGACCTACAAAATGCTCACTATATTGAATGTGTACTAATAATATTATCTCACTAACCCTTTGGCTTGGTGATCAGTTTTATTTTATCTTCCATTTCTGTGTTTTATGTTCACTGCGCTTACCATTGGAGAGAATTACGTTCACAAAATCGTGTCACGTTAACTTTTTACTGTCCAAATATCATTGACTACTGCAGAAAGATTTGATTCATACTCAGATGGACCATACTCATACAAGTTATAAATTGTTATTTTTGATGTCGTATTTAGACGTCATTGTTTTCATGTGATGGTCAACAACGACAAGAAAAATTGGGCAAATTTGGGATCCAATAATATAGAACTTTTATATAGTATCATTGAAGCTGATTAAATTTTCAACCAGGCAAATCATAGTTGAAGTAACAAAGAGTTCATGCAGAACTCATAAAACCTTCCTTGATAATGACTTTGTGAATATAACTCATGATGGTTTAATTAATCCAATGTTACTCAGAACTTCTTTGTTTGAGTTGGATAATTGAAATGTATCGATAGTTATTGATCAACTCACAGGGTGAGTCAACAAGACTTCCTCTGTCCATTGCTATCAGGGAAAACAATTATTTGAATTGCTCAATTTTTTTCGTAGTCATATCAATAAATACTATCTTTCAAAATCAGTTTCTCGCATACTGGGTGATTCAGCCAAGCGTGGCCAATCAAAGTTATATTTTTTAAATGGATTCCATATTTCTTTAGCCATTTAAGGATTTTATTTTAAATTTCCATAGCAGCATTGCCAAGTCATTCCAGAAAAACCTATTTTGCAGACAATATTTTTTTAATTCACCACCCCCATGTCTATAGCAATTAAGTGATTTTTTTAGGAATAGTTAGTCAACATCACTATAATAATTTCGGCAATCTCAACTTTCACAAACAATATATAGGGTGCTCGATGAAATAGGTCAAGTTTCATTCATTTCAAACAGACATAATTCAACCGTTTTCAAATAGAACACTCTGTATTTTTTCATTTGTATGAAATGTTTCAACATTTCACGTAATTTTTAACAGAGGTATACTATACGAAAAAAATATATTTTACAAATTATATCCAGTTTTATTAATTGTTGTCACCACAAAAAATTCATTTATTTACGTTTACTTACTCAACATTTTATCAATATTTTTTTCAATAACGCCTAAATTTTTTATTGAATAGAGAAGTCCAAAAGATCTTCAAAATGGCAACTATTTTCTGCAACACATGTCAGTCTGTTTTTAAACCAATTCTCTACAGACTACACGTCCCAGCATATTCTCTGGGATTTTCCTAAAAGCTCTAGTGATTTTTCGTTTCATGTCTTCTATAGATGTTGGAGGAGTTTGGTAGAAAATCCATTTGATATACCCTCATAAAAAAATCCATTTTGGTCAGGTTATGTAATCTGGGTGGTTACGCCTACCTATCCATTTTTGATTGAAATGATCGTTGAATTATTCCCGTACCTCAGTTTTAAAATGTCTTGTTGTAGCCACATTCTAAGTTTTGTTCCATACGAACCCCGTCCAATAAATTCGAAAACTCATGCCGCAGAAATCTTACATATTACCTTCCAGTGACAACCCCATAAAAAATGCGTACCGATAACTCTTTTTCCGAGAAATCCACCTAAACATTCAGTGACCAACGCTGTTGATGGTTCAGGCAACAAACAAAATGGGGGTTTTCCGTTACATAATAATGCATATTATGCCGATTCACAGTTTCATTCTTATGAAAAGTCGCTCCATCAGAAAATAACACGAAATCAAAAAAATCATTCTCCTGATTGACCTTTTTTAAGTCCCATCAGCAAAATTGAACTAGTTTTTTAAAATCTCTTCCTCTTAACTCTTGCATCAATTACATGCATCATTACATTGCTTGCTCGTATCATTCGAGACATGCTGGTTTGAGAAAATCCTAATTCCCTGCTCAGGTCTCGGGTACTCACGTGGGGATTTTCAACAAGGCGAGGAGCAATTTGAAATGTATTCTCTTCATTTGTTACAGGGCAGACATGTTCGAACTTCTCGTAATTGACATTACTGAAATGCCCTTCCATCTAGTTGTCTTCTTTCGGGGAACTTCTCTTTGTAAATCCTAGATGCAAAGAGGCAGTTTCCGTCACTATCCCCGAAAGCATAGACCATTTGCACCATATCTTCCAATACATAATTAATAATGAAAATGATTCAAACACGCGAAATAAACTTCAACACATGGCGTTATTGACAAATTCCCAGATTCATTTTTTGGTGTGAGTCATGGATAACAGGATTCTAAAGAAAAAAACAGTATAAATATTCTTTAGGTTTTTTACGCATTTCTTACTGTTGAAACCGTTGATAACTATCACTAAATGGTATGAAAAATGCTAATGTATTAGCCATTAGTTTGAATATTCGAAAAACAAATTTGAGTAAGTGAACGAACGTAAGANTTTTATCTTTACTATACATATTTGTATTTTAAATCATATCCTGTGCTACGTATAAAATATGTCCTACACGTTCATGTCTATATATCTGTAAATGAATAGGCTTAACACAAAAAGAACAGCGATGGATGCATTATTTCCGGACATGTCCAAATGTCAATCAATTAGTGGACATCTGATAGCTGAAATTATAAACATGATAAAGGTAAAAACAAATATAAGTGGGCGGGGTGGCATTTCACAGTTTTTGCCCCGCCTAAAAATATTGACGATCCGGGGCTGATCAAACCCATGTAATTATAATCGCTGATCATGAGTTTGGAGTCAAAACTTGGCGCTCCGATTCAATTACGGAGATACTAATACTGTGGCTCATTTCACTTTCGTTTTCAACACAAAATATTTAATTTCTTCGATACTGTATTTCACTAATGAATTTTACAGTGCTCTCAAGTTCAAACAAGCCACCAACCATAGTTCTTTTGCCTTCCCCTTTTTGAAAAAAAACGCGAAACACCTCAACTTCAGTTTTTTGGGAACATATTCTGTTGGGTCCCAATTTTGGTTTTTGGGCTTGCTGGCCCCTTTCTAGTGGACTGTATACTATTAAATAATGCGACGTAGGTAATTAGGTAACACACTTTATTCTGTCACACCTAGTTAACAGATTTCACAGAATGTCGAATACGACAATTGGTATGATCTGTTTAATTTGATGTGAGAAACACTAAGCTTATACAAATGAGAACCTTTGATATTCTCCACAATAAACTAACACTTTGTACTTAACTACAATTACATCTAATATACCTTTCTTCTGTTATGCTAAAACCATACTGTACTGAACGAGATTACTCTTAAGCGAGAGGTAAAGAAACAGGACACAGGCTATTGGTTCCCTAAGGTACGTAGATATCCCTTGACAATTAGACAATTACCCAGTGGCGTATCAGTGTTTAAGACAACTCATTTTAAACTTTATTTATATTCCCAACATATTCCTTTGAAAAAATCAATATTTTGTCAGCTATCTCCTATCCCCAAAACAACCCCCATGTCAAAAATTTCGAAAGGGAATACCTTATTTGAAAGGTCTTTTAAATATGTATTCAACCTTGTACCATTTTTGATATTACAACGATAAGCAATGTCAGAAGAAAGTAAAATACTCTTTTTACTCAATTGGAAACTATAAGGTCAACCTGAACACACAATTTCACTATTTGAAATGTTCAAATTTAGTACTAATGTATAATACCAGTTGTTGTCCGCGGCTTCGCCTGCCTAGAATTTGGTTTGTCGTATCAAATTTCGTGACAGATTATTTTAAACAAATAGCCACAATATTTTTTATTAACCCAAAACTTCAGGTTTCCAACTTCAAAACTGACGAAATTCAATACAATCTCTGAACCCTTATTTTTCCCCCTTGGGGATGGACATTCCTGATTCCCATGACAAAATCATTTCGAAATAGTACCTGTCAGATTAGTTAAACTCTCCTGGAGCACACTATACATACAGATTGCATCAAAGACAAATAATGACCTTTGAAAATTGCTATTCTATGCCGAGGCATGATGAAGGTAGACTTGTTTCCGAGATTTTATGAATGGATTTGAGATCGAGGAGTGAAGCAGTGTATCAGGCTTGGTGGCTCAGGATTATTCAAAAGTTTTTAACGAAGGTACTCAAGTGGAGTTGTCTTCTATTTTCCATGTTGAGCCACTTACATTCAATGAATTTATGAAAGAATATGGAGTCACTTACTTCTAAGAACTTGTTGACTATATGAATAACCATGTTATTTCTCAGAATGTAACTATTATTTTTATTACCAAAGAAAACTATTTCGGATTTATCCGAATTCAGCTTCAGACAAAGTTCTTCAGCTGCTTTGTTGAGTTCATCGTTAATGATTTTCATAGCTGCGTCTGGGCTCTAAATACTGAAATTCAGATACAACTGTGTTCCATCTGCATAAGCCTGCAATTTGCAACATTCCACCTCATTCAAAATATCTGCAGTGTATATGATAAAAAGCAATGGTCCTAAAACAGACCCCTGAGGAGTCCCCGATAATACATCTAGACTAGATGATTATGATAGACTTAATTTGGCACAAAGTTATTCCTGACTGATCGGGTAAAATGCTTTGGAGAAGTCGAGTAATACTAAAGCAGATAAGATATTGTAACGTATCTGAAGCCGCCCCTGACCGATAGGCCAGCCGGCTCATCGAATAAACACGTGACCTCACCTCAAAAGAATGCAGTCGGGAATCGCCGGTAAAATTCTAGTACCGAACCGGCTACAGAATTCTAGAAAGGACCTTTACCGATATAAGCCCGTCTTCCCGACCCAAGAGGGAAGTTCAGAAAGTGAATCGAGCGGCTAAACAACAAATTCAAATAGTGGAAATAAATTATGCGTTAATTGCTAAGTGTTGTAATAAATAAATCAGTTTGTT